CAATTGCCTTAGGCATACTGGTCACCCTGAATGAACAAACCGAAAATTATATAAAAAATGTTTAACCAATATTGAAATATTCTTACATAGAGTGTTTATGKTCACTCATTTTGCAATTTCCATCGTCCGTAAGCAAAAAGGTGTTCACGGTCTTGAATGATTCAACTTCAAAATACATACAAAAGAWGTACAAAAGAAATACAACAGAAAATTTCCAAACCATTCCCWTCTATTWATTACGTATGATATCATATGTCACCTCKTAAAGTCTTGACAGCGCATTCCCTTGGTGTTCCACCGTCTAGCAGTTGACCCWTGTAAACAGCTCCAAATTCACCTTCTCCAAGCTTATTAGAAAGTACCAAATCTTCTTTTGGAAATGATTTCSATTGGTGAGAATCATAGCTTATGTTTGTGYATGACTTCARGTCTCTGCCAATATCCTCCATATAGAGCTAATAGATTTGGTGCAAATCACATATCATTCAAAATATCAAGAAAAACAATCTTAATGTAAATAGAGTTGTTTTCTAAATAACATTTACCGAGCCCGCTTTAATACTTTCGGCGTTTCTCATTGGGAACATTTCCTCGTGTTGTCTTCGCCGGTTTTCTTGTCTAATTCGTCGGTAACAAATAATAACCAAAGCTACAATGATGATGATGAATATGACACTACATAACACGATGAGGGCGATTTCCCAGTCTTTGAGTGTTCCTGAATGAAATAAAATCTCATTTGAATATTATTTATACATGTGAGTAGTTTGTATGGTATGAATAAGCCAATGAAAATTTACTACTGCTGTTTATTATGTTAGATTAATATGATGTCATCGAGTGTTAAAGCACGTTATGAAAGTTATGACCACTAAATAATATGAACTTCTCTATGCTTGCTCGGATTGGCTAGCAAATAAAGCGTCATGTTTCAGAGAAGCTGGCTTTGTGAAGAGATTAAAACAATGAACATACGTTGTCATGCTCTCCTAAATACATAAGCAAGAAGGTCTAGGTAGGGGCTGAGTGTCTGCAATTTACGCCCGAATAAGTTCTTTTTGTAGAACATGGCTTCTTCCACATCTCCAAATGCATCACAAAATATCACGGGCTTCCTGTCTTTTTTGGAAGTTTTTTTTTCTAGTCACTAGTCCATAGCGGTCAAATTAAACGTTATAAAAGAAGCCCAAAGGGGAAAAAATAGTTGCTTGTGGAGGAGGCTATGTTGAACATGCATTTTAAATTTTCATTTTTTTTCAATATATATTTAAAAACTTACTTTTTTTAGTTCTGAATTCAATAGGGTCTCTTCCTTCACTATTTCCATTGCTGTTGACTGCCAAAACTATAGCTCTGTATGGTTTATCTGATTCCAACCCTTTGTAAAATAATAAACAATTTCATTAATTGTGACGTCACTGTATGTTTACATCAGAAAACGGTGCTAAGAAACWGTTGAAATGTGGTCTCCAAAAGTAGAACTTCAGTGAATCGTGTTTTGATATACATTTATTTCATSTATAGATGAGTGCTCATGTAAATTTATTTTATTTACAGTCACTCTTGTGATCATAATCCTAAGCTTTAAAACATTAAAATTCTACATGTGAAGTCATAATGAACTAGGGCAATTAGACCACGAGTTCGAGCGGACTGCGAGTTCAGAAAAAAAAGGTATGAATTAGTTATTCTATATATAAACCGAGGAAGATCAAAGTCAAAAATCTCCCTAAATAAAATTTCCCCTACCTCTCAATTCAGCTGTAATGTCGCCATGACTAACAGTTTTCGTTTTCGGGCTTGACTTCTTCCTATGAACCCAGCACTGGATGAAATAATTATCGACAGCAAAATATTCGTAGTTTTGTGGCCTATCCCAGATAAATGATACTCCATCTTCATATATGGTTGCGGCTCTCAAGTTTTCTGGAGCAGGAGGNAACTTACTTTTTTTAGTTCTGAAATCAATAGGGTCTCTTCCTTCACTATTTCCATTGCTGTTGACTGCCAAAACTTTAGCTCTGTATGGTTTATCTGATTCCAACCCTTTGTAAAATAATAAACAATTTTATTAATTATGACGTCACTGCATGTTTATATCAGAAAACGGTGCTAAGAAACTGTTGAAATGTGGTCTCCAAAAGTAGAACTTCAGTGAATCGTGTTTTGATATACATTTATTTAATTAGACCACGAGGTCGAGCGGACTACGAGTTCAGAGAAAAAAAAGGTATGAATTAGATATTCTACATATAAACCGAGGAAGATCAAAGTCAAAAGTCTGCCTACCTAAAATTTCCCCTACCTCTGAATTCAGCAGTAATGTCGCCATGACTGACAGTTTTTGTTTTCGGGCTTGACTCCTCCCCATGAGCCCAGCACTGGATGAAATAATTCTTGACAGCAAAATATTCGTRGTTTTGTGGCCTATCCCAGATAAATGATACTCCATCTTCATATATGGTTGCGGCTCTCAAGTTTTCTGGAGCAGGAGGGGGAGCTAAAAACATAGTATGACTATCATTAGCATCGCTATTGCTGTGTTGTACAATATAATTACGATATCTTAAATAACAATAGGCTCTATTGTTTATGCCTCGTTCTTTAGAGTCACTCTGTGTTGAGCCAACCTATTACCAGCAATGTTCTTTGGCGCTGCGACCTGACCCGTTGCTTTCGAGAGACCGCTACTTAAACCAAACCGGCGAACTGTAGACATCATTAATGAACATATTGTAGTTCCACGAAGTAGCTAGTCGGAAATATATACTACAGAGGATCAAAAGGATCTTGAATTGGAGGACCCTTGGGATATTGGCCAGTTGCTGTGTAACTATCCTTCTTAGAAGATCGTGTCTMTTTACACTTAGTAATCATTGTACTAATTTTTTTGACACTTGTGTGGTGTTCATATAATCGTTCCAACCGTCCAAAAATAGGCGTTACACTGTTAAGAAACTTGTGTTGCAACGGTGTTGCRAGACARGTTGCCGAGAAAATTGACCAGAACAGGACCTGGAATGAGCATTGACTAAATATGACTAAATTATTAAATAAACGGAGGAGTTACCTCTATGCGATCTGAATTCCGAGAGAATTATCATGATTGCACTTTGGAAAGTGTTCAGAAGAAKGTTACTTACAGTCGATTTCCATTGACTCGGGACTTGAGTCCACTTGTAAGTTCGCCACAAAACCCGTCTTCGCTCTTTTGATGACCTCAGTTGTCACTTTGACTCTAGTACCGACTGTTCGCTGATTTTCATCTTTGATCGTAAGACGGATAATAACCCGGTATCGCACCCTTACACTGCCTTTACTGTATCAAAAGAGTTTTATTCGTATYAAACAGAATTTTTCGAAAAAGAAAATGTCATTTCCCAAAATTAGTCATTCATTTCTTTTTAAAATGTGTCTTTTTTTATAAAATACGTGCTGGAAATATTCTTCATATAACACTCAAAACAAACAACTTTTCCTAAAAACATCTATACAAATACTCACAGTAGCTCCAATATTTCGACTCCTTGGTATCCTGTGAAGTTTTTGTAGACTATATCCATCTATATGAAAATGAAATTTAGCATAAATATTCACCCATTCATCAAACTTTACAACATCAACAGGGATAAGCATTGTGCTCTATAAACGATGCATGAGTAATTTATGTAATATTTGATATCTTACGCGCTCTTGTATTGGTCGAGAACTGTGCGTTATTTGAGTACACATGCAAGAATGACGACATTTTAACTCTCTTGCRCTGTGATTGGTCAGAATCAGTGCTCGATCTCCGTTATGCTCTATCAATCGTTTCAATGAAATTTAGCACTTAGAAAATACTAAACGTAAATTATTATATAAACAAATAGATTCCATCTTTTCGTGTGTCATTACTCTAATAGACACAATGAAGACGTCAAAAACCGACGAGAAAAACAGCCATGAGCCTCGACACAGTCTTAGCGTACTTTTTTGATCTAATCACAGGTTGACGTCATCGGTATATTAGATGGAATAAAAGCACGGAATAATGTAATCTATTTGTTAAATGTAACTCCAAAGTCTATTTTTTTATCATTTCATAATACTCCGAATCTTTGCTGTTGCAGTAAATTCTTTGTTTTCACTATACGTCGCAGCGGCCATCTTGAAGGAAGTTTAATAAAGGATTTCTCATTAGTATATACACTTTTCATTCCTCGAGCATGGCCGCCAGTTATTTATCTTTTGCCTTTGAATCTCACTGGATTGGTTGAAAACGATCAATTAAAAACAATACCTGAGCCTGGAAATTTGTCTCGAAGTCCTTGAATTCCTTAGATGACTTGTTTGTCATGTTTTTGGTGAAATTCCAGTTCAAAACGCGCAGACTCATCTTCACTTTGATTGTTACTATGTACATTAAAAATGATTAATTTAATCTTTTAATGACAAGTAAAGTGACTTATCAGTAAAACTGATTGGAGCAGGACGGTTTCTGGGCGATGTGCAAGAATAGAAGGTTAGTAGTCAGTACATCACATAGTTTTTTTTAATCTATTTTTTCACTAATACATACATGTTTCCTACCTAAAACCCATAAGTTGATTGTATTGGTACCATTGCATCGAGATTCCCTCTTGATACATTTGTAAATCCCTGCATCAGAGATCGTTGCGTTCTTAATTACAAGTTCTGAGCCCTGTATCTGTATTCGACTGGATGATGACTTGATTTCTTYCTCTTCTTTTTTCCAAACTGCAGTACCATTGCTGCACACTCTGCAACTAAGCTTGATGTCTCCGCCTTCTTTGACAGTAGAATTAGTCTTCAGTTCATGATTCTTAACATCAACTTTGTTTGTAAATAAAAGACAAAATTAAAAAAAAACAATTACTAGACGCAAATAATAAAATATGTAAACTCAGCGCATGCTCTGACTAGCTTATATGGCCCGCGAAATGAAATTTTCGGCCAGAATAAAAATCGGTTTTTCCTCGGAAATTGTTCGGAATATTACTCGGATAGCGAAAATATTATTTATAAATGTGAGTAGTTTGTATGTCATGAATAAGCCAATGAAAATTTACTACTTTTGTTTATTATATTAGATTAATTCGAGTGTTATTGAGTGTTTTATTGAGTTTTAAAGTACGTTATGGAAGTTATGAACACTAAATAATATGATCTTCTCTATGCTTGCTCGGATTGGCCAGCAAATAAAGCGTCATGTTTCAGAGAAGCTGGCTTTGTGAAGAGACAAAAAGAATACACATACGTTGTCATGCTCTCCTTAATACATAAGCAAGAAGGTCTAGGTAGTGGCTGAGTGTCTGCGTTTTTACGCCCGAATAAGTTCTGTTTTTAGAACATGGCATCCTCCATATATCCAATTGCATCACTAAAAATTACGGGCTTCCTGTCTTTTTTGGAAGTATTTTTTTTTTCTAGTCACTAGTCCATAGCGGTCAAATTAATCGTTACAAAAGAAGCAAAAAAAGGGAAAAAATAGTTGCTTGTGGAAGAGGATATTTTGAACGTGCATTTTAAATTTGCATTTTGCTTCAAATATATATTTAAAAACTTACTTTTTTTAGTTCTGAATTCAATAGGGTCTCTTCCTTCACTAATTCCAATGCTGTTGACTGCCAAAACTTTAGCTCTGTATGGTTTATCTGATTCCAACCCTTTGTAAAATAATAAACAATTTCATTAATTGTGACGTCACTGTATGTTTACATCAGAAAACGGTGCTAAGAAACTGTTGAAATGTGGTCTCCAAAAGTAGAACTTCAGNGCATAAATATTCACCCATTCATCAAACTGTACAACATCAACAGGGATAAGCATTGTGTTCTATAAACGACGCATGAGTAATTTATATTATATTTGATATCTTACACGCTCTTGGATCTTGGTCGAGAATTGTGCGTTATTTGAGTACACATGCAAGAATGACGACATTTTAACTCTCTAGATCTTGCGCTGTGATTGGTCAGAATCAGTGCTCGCTCTCCGTTATGCTCGTTCAATCGTTTCAATGAAATTTAGCACTTAGGAAATACTAAACGTAAATTATTATATAAACAAATAGATTCCATTTTTTCGTGCGTCATTACTCTAATAGACACAATGAAGACGTCAAAATACGACGAGAAAAACAGCCATGAGCCTCGATACAGTCTTGGCGTACTTTTTTTATCTAATCAAAGACTTGACGTCATCGGTATATTAGAGGGAATAAAAGCACGGAATAATGTAATCTATTTGTTAAATGTAACTCCAAAGTCTATTCTTTTATCATTTCATAATACTCCGAATCTATGCTGTTGCAGTAAATTCTTCGTTTTCACTATACGTCGCAGCGGCCATCTTGAAGGAAGTACAATAAAGGATTTCTCACTAGTATATACACTTTTCATTCCTCGAACATGGCCGCCGGTTATTTATCTTTTGCCTTTGAATCTCACTGGAATGGTTGAAAACGATCAATTAAAAACAATACCTGTGCCTGGAAATTTGTCTCGAAGTCCTTGAATTCCTTAGATGACTTGTTTGTCATGTTTTTGGTGAAATTCCAGTTCAAAACGCGCAGACTCATTTTCACTTTGATGGTTACTATGCACATTAAAAATGATTAATTTAATATTTCAATGACAAGTAAAGTAACTTATCAGTAAAACTGATTGGAGCAGACGGTTTCCGGGTGATGTGCATGAAGGTTAGTAGTCAGTACACCACATAGTTTTTTTAATCTATTTTTTCACTAATACATACATGTTTCCTACCTAAAACCCATAAGTTGATTGTATTGGTACCATTGCATCGAGATTCCCTCTTGATACATTTGTAAATCCCTGCATCAGAGATCGTTGCGTTCTTAATTACGAGTTCTGAGCCCTGTATCTGTATTCGACTGGATGATGACTTGATTTCTTCCTCTTCTTTTTTCCAAAMTGCAGTACCATTGCTGCACACTCTGCAACTAAGCTTGATGTCYCCGCCTTCTTTGACAGTAGAATTAGTCTTCAGTTCATGATTCTTAACATCAACTTTGTTTGTAAATAAAAGACAAAATTAAAATAACAATTACTAGACGCACATAATAAAATATGTAAACTCAGCGCATGCTCTGACTGGCTTATKWWTGTCCCGCAAAATGAAATTTTCGGCTAGAATAAAAATCGGTTTTGGCTCGGAAWTKKTYSGRAWWWT